TAGCTTGATTTCTTGATTCAGTTAATTCCTCCATTTTCATGTATTTTCAGCCCTTCTCCTCAAGTTATTCATATCCAACAGAGGTTTTTTGCATAAACTATCTACCCGTGGGCGGCAGCGGAGGGAGCGCGGCGACAGCGATGGAAGAGGAAGAAGGCTACATATGCTTTCTTCTTCTCTTTGGTAAAGAAAAACTGTAACAAATTAGTTACACTTTTTAAAAATAAAAATAAAAAATAAATGAAATGACGTGTCAATTTATGATTGGAGGGACAGGGTTTGGAGACAGGAATTGGAGACAGAAGATTTTGATCCCTGGAACCTATGTCTAGTGGATGAATCATGATCGTATGATTAACGACCTAATAATCTTTTCTCTAGAGAGGTGTCATTTAGGATTGAAGAGGATCATTTTAAAATGCAATATGTCACTCATTTAAGTTCTTTCGTTAAATAAGCAACATTTTTTGTAAATAGAAGTATCTACATAGCATGATAGTGTCATATCGCATACACATGGTACATATGTGGAGTGACACATGTCACATGGCATATAACTATAAGACACAATATTATTCAATCCCTTAAACTATAACTATGTGTCATTTTAGTTTATGAAATTGTATATCAATGTTATTTTAGTTTTTAAAGTTTTAACTTGATGTTATTTTAATCTCCATATCATAATTTTACTTTAATTAAGTAGATGACTTAAATATTTGCACAATAAATTAAATAATAAGTTTAATATTATAAATACAATGATAAACATATTCATCTTTTAATTGTCAAATATTTATTTATTTTTAGTCAATTTATTTTATAATACATAAATAAAAAAAATTCTGGTATATATATATACATTATTAAAATAAAAATATAATATCAAAGACATAAAAAAATATAATTTTTAGAAAATGAAAGTAATAGATATTTTTTATAGTAAACAATTGAGAAATAATTTATATGAGAGAATTAATTATGAAAATAAAATATAAATATAGAGAAATTATAAATTATTTTTATTTATGTACTTTAGAAAATAAAGTGGACAAAATATGGGTAAAAATTGACAATTAAAAAAAGAGATATAGTGTGTTTAAAATATAAAAAGTATTTTAATACATAACAAATGTTAAATGTTTATTATATGTAACAAAAATTTAAAATAAAGTATGTATATAAATAAATATTATTTTGAATATATATTATTTATAAATTTTGAGTAAATAGTTATTTTTAATTTTTAAATATATAAAATTATATTTTATATTTATAATAAATGATTTATATTGTAGTATAAATTTATTTTCATTAATAATAATTTGTTTTTCTTAAATTTAACATTGTTTTGCATCCGCCACCCACTTAATTAGTGTCAAACTTATTGCCTTGTAGAAATTAGGGGGATCGCATGCATAAACCGACAATGACAAGTCATTATGATAAACTAAAATTTTAGAAACAAGCATGTTAATTAGCCATTAGAATTGTCTCATACACTAATTATTAATACATTGAAAACTTATATTCATGATGGAGAGGTCAAATCATAAGTTAGTATGATCAGTTAAAAATGTAATTTACATTTTTTTAGTATGATCATTCAAATATGATGTAATAGTCTATATTTATAGTTTTTATTTTTCATGTTAATCGTGCACTATATATATTTCTTAATAGTGTGAAACTTATAAATTTGGATTATATAACTTCATATAAATGATGGAAATTAAAAGTTAGTTAATAATTATATAAACATTTAAAAAATCATGTACAGTCATCTTTAATATTGTAATATGATTTGATAAATCTAAATAAAGAGTTAATATAAATAACTAACGTAAAGTGTTTATATAGAAAGCAAAAGAGCAAAAGAAAGAATAGGAAAATGACAATTGACAAAGCAAAAGACAAAGTTGTCCCGATAAACAACATGATGACGCAAAGATATAAGAATTGTTTTCCTGAATGTTTGAATTAGTATGGGATGAAGGTGGAGAAGATGAAGGCAAGTCTTGTTGAATAGATAGTAAGTGGCAAGATGCAATAGAATCGGTATGGATAAATTGACAAAGTTATTGGTAGGTAGCTAGAGTAGGTTGAATATGCTTATCTCCTACAATGGAAATGGTGGTGGAATTATGAGAAAATAAGAGTCAAGTGATGGAGAAATCAAGGTTCTAGGATACTTAACCAAGCAATTCCTAACACAGTATCCACACCTTCTATAGATAGGATACAAAAAGGAATTGTGAAGAGATGTTGCTGAACTTGTAGGGGAACAACAGGGCAAATTGATGTACAAGAGATGTGTTCTCATTTTCCAACCATAACAAAGAAGGTCTTGGTGGGTTGAAACTTTGTGGAAGGCAAAATATTGATCGACCTGAAAAACCAAATCTAAGGGATTAGAACCATCAAAAAAGGAAGGAGTTGAAGTTTGGGTGTATGAAGTTGACTTGTTGGTGTGGGAAACAAAGGTGAGAAGGGAGAGTAAACTATAGTAATGGGTGAGGATATAGAGGAAGGGTTTTGGGCAAAAGGAGGGGGTAGGGTTGTTGAAAAGAGGGTGGATATAGAGGCCGATAATGAATCGAAGGGGTGGATGGAGGAACAACAATGGGTTGGGAAGAAGGCAATGGGGGTGAAAAAGGAGGAAATGGTTGTGAAGTGGGTATAGCCGTAAAGGAAGAACCCAAAAAAACAAGAGTGGAGGGAGTAGAAGTGGAACCCCGTTATGGCTATTCATGACAGTAAGTTCATCAAGAACACCCATCATTAAAGTTGTTAAAAATTTATGATGTTCATCCTGAATAATTTGGTGATTATCCAACTGAAAATTGGAGTTTGGAAAATTTGTGCTCAAGGGATTAGAGGGTCTCATCTGGATGGGAAAAGGATGGCTCAGGAGGCATAGTAAGTTTGATGAAAGTACCAAATTGTTAGGCTGAAACTAGCAATTTCATAAATAAGCATAAAAAAGAAACATCATAATTCATTCATATGATTACAAATGATTATTTTAAGCATAAAAAGTAATATATGGTCCTAAACATCTATACCCTCCATGTGGGTGATCAAGAATTACTAACCGTTACTATAATCTTTTATCCAAAAGGGAACTTTAGTATCACGTTTGGATCTTGAAGGGGTATTGAGCTTCTGAAAGGCATAAGAGTCTTGTTGAGGACTTGGGTTACTAATAGTTGTCCCAATAAGCAAAACAACAACGCAAAAGAAAGAGGAAATGTTATTCCCCTATGTCAAGTGGTGAATAGTATTTGAAAAATCATTAATTTGAAGTTGCCTCAAGCATTTTATAATTGCAAAATGTTTGATTGATTGCAAACAATATGCACAATGGAATATGCTATTCCCCATTATCCCTACCGCAATTTGAAAAGTTAAAAACAACATTGTGTTTAATACCACAAGAGGCTGCTAAAATAGCTATACAGAAGGCCTTACAAGTCTTGAATGCCTCTAACATGGGGGAACCATTACTTATAGGCACTCATGTGCTTGATTCTCCTCCTAAGAGTTGATTATTATTTTTTGTTTAAAAATGTCATGATATCATAATATTCTAGTGTAATCCTTTTGAACTTTGTCCTCTTTGTTATAAAATAAATAAACAAATAAAAATTTATGTTTTGTGTAACTTTTATATTAATTAATACCGTAAAAAATATTTGCAAAGTTGATCAATTAACTCATTTGATTTTATAGAAAATTTAATTCAAAAGTTTAAAAGAGGTCAACTTTTTATCTTTTTAATATAAGTGTTTGCAAAGTTGGTCAATAAATTATAAAATAAGTAAATTTTCTAATTTATTCTTTTAATATAAGTGTAATGAATTTGTCAAATTATTTAAATATAAAACATGTTTAATCGATCATATAAATAGGGACATTTTAATCGATCATATATAAACAGACAAACCTTATGACTAATGTGCAAGGACCACTTTCGGTTTGCTTTTTATTACATATTCGAACATATGACACGTCAATCGATTATAGGAGTTGCACAACAAAGATACCTTTGTCACATAACAACTTTTGTGTCTATTTTCACACATATATAAGAAGAAATAAAAAATACATGAGGTCCACTCATTTTTTATTTCTCACTCCGACAATTTTGTAGCAATCAAACCACACATTTTATTTTTCACCTCCAATTTATACGTTCTGCATATTATTTGATCGTTATTTCGTGATACCAAACACAACATTACCATTGTTTGCGTTTCGGCAATGTACGTAGTCTGAAATTTATTCCATTAACTTCAGTTACTTCGGATATAGAACACGAGAAAAACAAATTGATACAAAATAAATAAATAAAATAAAAATGTGGAAGTGACACATTCCTAGAACATCCATCTATGATGGTATAAAATATAAATAGATAGTAATGTACATTTTATGCTTAGAAGTTAGAACAGAGTAAGTAAAATCTATAGTGAGCCCAACACTTCCCAATAATCAACCGTAACTTTATGGCGCCAAATACGCAAACAAGACAACTACAGTCAGCGCGTATATCCACACACGACAAAGCAAACTAAAATCAATGAAGAAAGTAAAATAATAAAAAGCATGGACCCACTTCATCGTCATTAATTATTGTCTCAATCATTTCATTTCTTTATTCAATTCTTTAAATAAAATACAAAAAAAGAAAACCCCAATATTTTTGCTTAGCAGAGTTTCGAGGAAATTTTTTTGTTACGTGTCCATTTACGCGAAAATCCACATCTCTAGTTTGACCCGATTGATGTTCATGTCGGCTGTGTCGTTTTCCTTCATGGTATAACAAATATTGGGTTTTCAACTATTCATGAATTTATTACCCAATTTGCTTTCTTGCAAAAAGAAGCGACCTTGATTGTTTTTGTTGCATGCAATGGAGATTTTGGATTATGGGCACCCATATAATCCAAAAAGGTCACACTTTTAAGAGAATTGTCAGAGAAGGTTCTTTCTTTCTTCCTTCCACCACCCCCTTTCTTTGTTTTTGCATATACTTCTTAAGTTTCATCATCTTCATCTTCTTCCTTTTCTTGACGATGGTGATTATCTACGAGTCTTTTCTTGAGGGTTGGGTTTGGAAAGTCATGACCTTGTTGGGATCTTAATTTGCTTGTGTTTTTGTCAAAGAAGGTTTCTAATTTTTAATTTTAGTTTCTAGTGGAATCAGAATGATTTTGTCTCCTTGTGTTTCCATGATTTTAAGAACCTTATTGTTTTGGATTGGCCCTCTTTCAATAATCATACCTCGTTTCAATTACCTAAGCACTTTACACTGTTTCATTTGATGATTTCTTCCTCCTCTATGCTTTAATATTAATATTATTTTAGAATTTTTTTAGCTAGTTTTGCTACTAAATTGGATGAGTTAACTACTAGGTTTTACTTACGAGATGCTTCAATTTTAGACGAATCTCTCCATTAGCTGCAGTTTGTTTCTTTTATTACTTTGTTCTTTTTGGCAATATTCATTTCGTTAAACAGTTCATAGTGATGAAAATGGTTTAGGGTATGATGTCTTCTATGAGATTTTTGTTATTTATTTATTTCTTTGCTGAAATGGAACTTGCTTTAATGCCTTTTCCCCTTCTTTTTTAGGTCACTTGTGCTGATAGAGCATTAAATCATTTCCAGCAAGTGTTGAAGCATAGGAAGCTCTAGATTCCACATATCTCCTATTTTGTTATTGCTTTTGGTCTACAACAGATGAGATGTAATGTACAAGATTGGTTTGTGACTCTTCTTGCTTTGAGTTCACTGTTTTAATAAGTTGTTTACTATGATAGCTGAAAAGATAAAGTTTATCAGTCTGTATTGATCACCTTTATTTCCTTGTAATAGTCATTGTGATTTATTGCAGACAGTTCCATTGATTTTTAGGGAGTGCTTGAGTTCCAGTGTTCAAACTTGACATTGCTGAGTAATTATTGCAAAATGGAGTCCAAACAAGAGCCACCAAGTGTAATTTTAAAATTGATGGGTCTTGATAAACCGCCTACTGAACATTCTGTTGGAGTTAAACAGAAAGTGCTCTCCGATAGCTACAGGCAGAAAATTGCTTCCATTGGTGTCATCAGAAGGAAGCGTTCGTCTCATCAGCGTGGAATGAATACTGATGAAAAAGAAGAATCTGAGGATGTTTCGAAAGTGGCCAAAGCACTAAGGCGAGGTGAGCACCATAACCCATCAATGGGAAATAGGAAAGAGAATCCTAGTTCTTGCAAAAATTCTCATTTTGGTGGGCAGAGTTCAAGGTCTTTCAGTAAAATTTCAAATATTTCTATGCAATCAGGAGATGTTGCAACCCGAGTTTTAAATACCACTTTAAGTGCATTTTTCAGAGGGAATGAAGCATTTTCCAATGAAACGCTGAAGCCTGCTTCAAATATTTCAGTTAATGAGATCCAATGCAATTCATCTTTCTTCTGTTCTGATGGTTCATATGTAGGCTCTGAAGCCAGGAACAAAACTTTGGAACAGAGGGATGTGACTGAAAACTTGCGAGAGCTTGGACGGTGTGGTCAAGACAGTACATGTAATCAGTTGGCTATGATTTCTGCACATGGAAATGGAGCAAGAAATTTGACTCATGGATTTGGTTATAGTAATGATATAATTGAAAGGAACATTAGACGTAAGGCTCGTCATAGAAATTTTCCAATACGTCATGTAGCTTCAGCACATGGAAGGAACATTAGTTGGGGAGCCATAAATCAGGATATCTTGTTTCAGAGATATTGGGGGTTGAGAAAGAATGCATCTGTAAATTGGTCATCCTGGAAGTCAAAGAATCAAAATATTAACCAGAAAGAATGTTTGGAAGATGTGAACCAAAGTTGCGGCCAAGAGAAATTATCTTCTTTTTCCTCTAATTTCAATAATAATCACACTGAAGAGAAGAGATGTTATGGGACTGATCTGTCTGATACGATAACTATGCCTCCTCAGTTGTCAAGTTCTAGTTTTTCTCCTGCCTTGCTAGATTGTCAGATATTGCAAGAGAGATGCTTAATGAATGATGAAGTGAAGAACAAAAAGTATGAAGACACTAATATTTCAAGACAAAATATCGTGTCTCCTGATTCATCAGTTGAATTCTTGGCATCTGATGCAAAGACTGAGGTTGTTGGCTGGTCACATTATAGTCCAACCAAGCATCAATCTAAATCAACACCCTTCATTTTGGCACAAGAAATTGATTCTTCGAGCCATACATCAGATGCTTCTAAGCAACAGGTTTGTTCACAGAATTGTTGGGATTATTCATGTTTATTCAGTAAGTTTTATGTTATCCGAATCATCCGATAGTTGAATGTTCAATAAATTTTTAGGAGGCATTTGGTACACGGCAAATATTTTCATGCTTGAATGATTCTTGGGAATCATCAAAATCTGTTTGGTTAATCATAAATGTTTTTTAGAATGCTTTTAAATGTTACATGGGAATGAAAGATTTTTATTGCATTAAATTAACAAATAAAGATAACATAACACTTGTACTGCATTAAAACTTTACTTTTATCTCGAGAAAGTTAGTTTCCCACTTCTTCTATGGGAATCATTTCGTGGGAAACATACACAAAAATCATTCTCGGAAAACAATGTTTCTTAGGAATGTTATTTTTTAAATAACAAATCAAACCCGGAAAACTAATATTCCCCAACGTCAGATTCTCAAAAAAGTAAAAATTTTCTGTGTTCTACATACCCTTAATGTTAAGAGTGAGTACAAGACAGATATGTTCAATAAATGTGTAATGTAAAGTGTGAGTACAAGACAGATGTGTTCAATAAACTGTAATGTTAAGAGTGAGTACAAGACAGATGTCCAACTTTTATTATTGGCATGTTTGTGTCCTGAAATGATATTAGGTGTAAGAATTTGCATATTTGACAGAAACACATATGATGGAGTAAAATTATTATTTCAGATGTGCTTTACATTTTATCAGTTACCCGTGAAAGAACATACCATTGAATAATACACGTGGTTTGTTGAAATTTAATCCTTAAATGCATATAAAATGTTGAAAAAGCTTTATAACCTCATTGATTAATAATGGATTACCTATGGAAAAAAAGCTTCCTGTTGAATGTAGTTGAGGTGTCTAAAATTCTGTGGTAGTTTAATTGTTGCCTTGTGATGTAATGGTCATAAGTTCTATTACTATGAATACCTCTTAGCTTGTGGCCACTAGGCTGTGTAAGCAAAATCAACAATAACTAATTTCTGCTATTAATAATTGTTTACAATTTAGTCTAATGAAAAATAAAACATCCTATGAAAGTAAATAAATATAACAATTTTTATGCAAAAAAACATAAAAAACAATAAGGCTTAGGACTTAAAGTTAAGCTAGGAAGGAGCAGGTTGAGATGGATTATGAATATTGACTTTTTTCTTTTTAAAGAATAAACAAAGAATTCTTTAAATTGTCATATTTCAACAATTCAATTGCATATTCTTTTGAAGTACATGAACATAAAAATAACATTGAAAAGATAATTTATTACGTCAAGATAAAATAACATTATTTTTTTAGTCTAAAGACAATAATTTGATATTAAAAGTTGAATGTATTAATCAAGTCCAAAGAAAAATTATTGCGTGAACCAATCTTTGATATCGAAGTTTATTAAAATCAAAATAAGTATTTAGATGTAAATACAACTTTTAACCAAAGCCTGTTAAGAGTTAGATTGGTCAAACAGTGAATCAAATAATCGCTAAAAATTTTGTTGATAATAAGTTGATGAAATTCAAGAAAAGAAATGGTGAATACAAACAAAGAGATTGAATTAATGGGTTGGGATTTGACCATATACAATATAAAAGACTAGTCTCAAGAGAAGATTATTGGCTATATACTGTATACATATACAATAATACAAAAAACAAGTCTCAATTTTGTTTTTTTTTTCCTCATTGTAATTTATATTTGAGTGTGTTGTTAATTGTTCTGGGACCTTCTGCTCAAAGTCTCACTACCTACCACCTTATCTAAACCAAGGTGGAAAACTCTAATAATAGTTTCAGGAATGCTGATTTGTTACTAAATGGCTTATTTTGCTGTCTTCTTTTGAGTTCTGATTTCTGATATTATATTTTGGATATATTAAAGTCAAATATAAAGGGTGGGCTTGACACAACAGTAAAGTTTCTGTTTAGTGACTGGGGGGAGGTAATATTTTCTAGCTACAGAAGCAGCCTCTCTGCTCAAGGAGATAAGGTAGCATTATAGCATAAATCTAAGTCTAACCATCTCCAAATGCCGCAATGGTCAGAGCCTTGTGCATAGGGAAACCCGTTTTTTATATATTGAAGTTAGATATATTGAGCTAGTGTTTTATTTTATTGTATCCATTCTTTCATTCTACTTAATTAATGCAAAACATAATTAGTGCAAAAGGAAATCATTTATGACTAAATTTTATAGTATATGCTTTCCAGTATTTTATTACGAAACAATAAATTAAGCAAATCCTATCAAATATTATTCTCTTTTGCATTTTAATAGAAATACTTGTGTTTTAGATGAACCAAATGAATGAGCATTCAAGATTTCTAGCTTGTTTTGTGCAGAAATGATTGAAATAATTAAATTATTAATCTTGGATAATATGTAAAATTTATAGGTTCTGGTTGGTGCATTTTGATGTGACGTGCATCAAAGACACCAGCATAAAAGTTATCATGTCAATTTTGGTGAAGTTTAATTTTAAAAGTTAATGCTACAACATTGTTTTCTTTAAATAACATATTGAAGTGTCCCTAGTTATATCAAATAGTTTTTTTTACCGGATATCAATCAAATAGTTAACTTTTTGAGTTGACTTTTCTCTTTATATCATTACATATAACATAAATAATCTTTTGGACTTTCTTTGTAATTGTTATTTCAGTGATGTTAAACTCTTTCTTCATGTTTGATTCCTGAATCATGTGGCTTTGTATTGTTCTTAAATTACAGGATCCATCAGACATTCAAGAAGATTCTGTTCATTCACTTTGCTCTGAGACTGACCCAGATTCTCTTGGTAGCTCTGAGCAGGCATATGGACCTAGTCCAATTTCTGTTTTAGACCCCTTATTATTTGGACAAGACATTCCATTCAGCTCTGAATGTGGCAGTCGTGTATATGGTATGTAATGCTTATGTTGAGTCATTTGTATAACTCACTCTGCATATCATCCACTTTATTTGATGTCAACTTCCTATTCTCCCTCCTTTTATTTTGGTATTAATTACAAATGTACCATCATTTGTTCATTTCAGATTCCTCTGAATTAGATGATGAAGAATTTGGTTTGAATATTTCAAGCGATGAAGATTGTGGGAATGCATCTGCGGTTGTTTCCAAAGAAAAGGAAGATATAGTAGGAATATTTAGAGATCAAGAAAGTAGGGATTTCTCGTATGTTGTTGAGGTCTTAACCGAGGCAGGTATTTGTAATAGGAGCTTGTTTACAGACTTCTCTACATGGCACTCTGCAGAATGTCCTATTAGCCCTGTTGTCTTTGAGATCCTGGAAAAGAAATTTGGCGAGCAAGAACTTTGGAAGAGATCTGAAAGGAAACTTCTCTTTGATCGCATTAATTTGGGGCTGCTTGAAATTTTTGAGCCGAATTTGTATATCCCAATGTGGGAAAAAACCATGTCAAGAAGATTGAATTCTGAACCTAGCCAGGACATGATTGAAGAGGAGATGTGGGGGTTGCTTGCAGCACAGGAAAAGAAATCTTGTAAAGAGTTAGCAGACAATATGGTTGGAGGGGAAATTAAGTGGATAGAACTAGGTGAAGATGTTGAAGATATTGTTATAGAGATTGTTAAGTTGTTTATAGAGGAGCTTGCAGATGAGATAGTAGTTAGCTTGGAAAATTTTTGAATGGATATAGTTTTGTGAGGCTATGGTATTTTTTATATATCACAAACAATTGGTGTACAGTTTGATTTTGAGGAGCTGATTTTTGAGTCAATTTTGAGAGTTTGAATTAGGACATAGGTATTTGAAGAGTTTGAATTTGCATATAGGTACAAGTATACTATTCTTTCATATGGGATAATGTTGATTTTATTTGTGTCCAAATTAAAAAAGGAAACTGCTTGTTGGTTGTTGTATTTGCCGTGATTACTTATGCACCTTATTGCATTGAATCAAACTTCAATTGTATTTTAGAAAGCAATTCAACTAGTTTTGTGCAGAATCAATGAGTTGTCAAAAAGAAAAAAGAGATGTTTGAAAGTAAGCTAAGTGGTTTGAGAAAATCAGAATTAACTCTAGTTATTTTTTAAATATTTTCTTTAATTTTTTACAATTTTTTTGTTTTGATATTTATCTTATGTCAATAGATATTTGAATAACAAACAATAGTTTTGAAGAAGGCAGTTTATTTTTGAACTTGACATAAAAAGTGAATATTGAAAACTTAATTCATTAACAATAGAGGTTTTTTCTGTTGGAATATAATATCCTACAATAATGATATTTTAAAAATAAAAAATTAATCAAATTTTTATTTTGTATATATCGAATTTAAAATTATAGATTGATTTCGTTCTTAAAATAATTATGGATAAGGTTCTTTTAGAATTATTATTCACTTGGATGTTAATACCTATTGATTATGTGTAAGAAAAATATTCATCATAGATTATACTTTTTCTTCTATTTGATTTTCACCTTTCTTTTAACTTTCTCGTTTTCATTACATCATTTATTATTTTATCTCAATTCATTTCAAACTGATGATGAGGAATCAAAGGTTCTGAGCTTTTTAATTTCTCTCAACTCTTGTATTGAGACTAGTCCTATTTCTTGAAGCTCCACAATCTGCAGTCTGACAACACACAATTTGAAAAGAAAAATCATAGTCAGATATTTTGCACTAAATTTCGTAGTGTTAATTCATTGCATAGTCAAATATTATGTATGCAAAACATTTCATTGTCAATTAATTACATAAACAGATATCTGAAGAAACAGGATACTTTCCCTAC